CTGGGGATTCGAACCCGCCACCTTAGGTGTATGTGGCTGGCACCTTAGCCGCTTGAGCCACAGGTGCCGGGCTGCCTTATACATATTTTACTCACTGAATTCTCCCCCTGACTCTGTGAGGCAGGTCCTGTCATCCTCATTTTATAGACAAGTCAACAGCAGCTTACAGAGCTGAGCCAGAAAGGGGCAGAGCTGAGATTTGAACCGAGCAGTCTGGCTCCGCAGTCCACAATGCCCTGCCTTTCCAGAGCTGTGTGCTGCCATCACACTTATCCAATGTATAAAAACGATGAGAATCTGACCTCACGCGGTACATGGGGTCAGCTCTCCAGTTGTAGAAGCAGCTTCAGTGCCTATCCCCAGTGTGTTGTCTCAGACGCTATTTGGTCTAAGCCCTGGGACACAAGTGACTCACTGAGATACACTTCATCAAGTTGCCCTCTCAGAACCCACATCAAGACCTCCCACTTAATACAAAAGGTGGACGAGAGTCTCTTCTGTCCTTGTCACTCCTAAGAATGGTCACGCCCACATTTCTCAAATGACTCTTTCTCAAGAAAGGGGAATTCGGGCAATGCCTTTGCATAGCTCCTGTATCCACTCTGGACACTTCCTGGCAAAAGCAGGTACCTGTCCTCCGGCCCCAGTGCCGTGCTCTTGTGTTCCTTCTGTTCAAGGCCCAAGCCCCTCCGGGTGCCTGCACACATCTGCTGTGAGCTCAGCACAGGAAGTCATTAATTAAATTACTAGCTGGGCTTCAAAGACATGGACTTTTTTTCTCACCCATTTCAAAAAAGGACCATTACATCTGACCACCAGAAAATTATCCATTTGGAGAAGGGGGGAAGGAGGATGAGGATGGCACAGGGTGATAATTTTTTCATAAAGGCCATGAGCAAGGCTACACCTGAAGGTTCTACCTGTCAAGGCCAAGAAGCTCCCAGAGTACTTTGCGTGAATTACAAAACGATACCCCTTCCTCTGGGCAGACACTGCCCAGCAGTGGATAAGAAGAGCACCAACTGGATGGTCACCCCTCATCTGGGTACCTTGTGCAGTGAACAACCTATCCAACTGTCCATGGAAGCCATATTTGCCATTTTCATCTGGTAGCAAAGGTATCTTGGATAGGCACATAAAAAACTGGTTGTTGGCAGAAGTGCTTGTTTTTCAACTGAATTTCAGGAGAAATTCATATAATATAAAATTAACCATTTTTAAGTGAACAATTCAGCAGCATTTAGTACATTCAGAGTTGTGGGACCACCACCTATAAACAATTTTAAAACATTCTCATCACCCCAAAAGGATACCGCACTTGGTCCTCCTTCCCCCTCTCCCAGGCCCTGGCAACCACCACTCTGCTTTCTGTCTGCCAAAGGCACTCGTATAAGAACAAACCCTGAACTCATTCCTGGCCAGCAGGGGCACCCTCGGTGAGGGCTGGCTCACAAGCCACAGATCCCATGACTCAAGATGACAAGCTGGGCGGCACCTGTGGCTCAAAGGAGCAAGGCACTGGCCCCATATGCCAGAGGTGGCGGGTTCAAAACCCAACCCTGGCCCAAAAAAAAACTACAAAGATGAACAAGCTGACAAGGGAATGCGGTTAATCAGCTGACCCAGGGTAAGGGCTCTTCCGGATCTGGCACCCCGCTCCTTGTAAAACGCCAAGGCCAGGCTGCAGACTGGGTTGTCTCCCTCTCGCGGACGTGAGCAGCCTCTGGGGAGGGCCAGTCTCTCCCTCTGGGCTAACCTGTGCCCAGGACCCCAGACGCCCCATGAATTCTACAGCACAGTTTGCCCCGTGAAAACAGCGCCTGGGTGGAGACTGTCCTGGGCACCTACTCCTGGCAGGGTCTCTGCCATCCCCACTATATTTTCAGCTGCTGTAGGAAGATTCTTTAATGGACCAGATCGGATACTTGTCCCAGGCGGATTCTTAGGACGAAACCAGCCCGGAGTCTTCCAGGTGCTTCTGTGATCCCATCACACCTGTTGATCATGAGTAGGGGGTTTCAAGACACAGCCTGTCCCCCATGGTGCTGCTGGTGGAAGAGTCACTTGGCTTTCATAGGTGGGTACCAGGATCTGGAAGTGGCAGCAGGCACCACCTCCCTGCTGCTGCCGTGTCCCAAGCTGTCCCCCACAATGTGTGAGTCCACACCAGGCCAGTCACAGGTCCCTTCTGTCCTCACAAGGGTGCATAGTGTTTCCAGGGACAGCCAGAGATGGGCCTGGGTTTGGCTGTGGGGAAGGAAGCACAACTTGTACCCTGCCTGTGAACAAGCCCCAAGGCCCCAGACCAGACTTCCTCTTCCTGAGACTGAGCTTTCCATGCAGTCCCTGAGGGCTGTTCGCCCAGGTACGATCCCAGAGGAGGCCTGGATATTTGCTGATTTTCTCCTGGTACCAAGTCTCTGGAGGCCAGCTGGTCCCATCAGGAAGGAGGCTTGGCAGCCACCTCACGAAAGCAATGGCCAGCATAGCGGAGCAGATGTCGGCAGCAAGGAGAAGACGCTTACAGCTGGGCACAAGTGAGCAGCAGGAGACGGAGACGTTTCCCTGAGGGGGTGGGAGGCCACGTGGCTTTGAGGAGGGCATGGAGGGAGGCAGGTCTGAGAAGGCCCCGCGTCTGGGGCCAGACCTCAAGATGACGGCTCCAGAGCCACCTTGGGCTGGAGAAGGCTCAGTCTTGCAGGTAGGTTTGGTGGCCTGGTGGTCATGTGACAATCACCCATTAGTCAATCTATGGATGTGAGCTTTTGACCCTGAACATACATTCTATGCTGAGCACAGGACTTAGCGATGAAGGGGTGTGTGCACAGGAGGAGACTGACACAGTGAGTGGTGGGGTGGAGGAGTGGAGTGTGCACAAGGGAGGGTGTGTGTGGCTGAGGGTGCTGCACACAAGGTGCAGAGTGCAGGCACAGGAGGAGGTCTGGTACAGAGAAGGGACAGCAAAGATTTGGGGAGGTCTCAGGCAGTCAGTGGCCCTGAGGGCCAGCAGTTTCATCCCTCTAAGGGGCAAAAGCTTCCTTGGCTGAGTCGGTTTAGGAAACCACCCATAGTGCTTGGTGTAATGTTGGTGTAAGGTTCTGAGAAATATTCTAGCCAGGGCCCAGCTCCACTTTTTTGAACTCAACGTTTCACTACTGAGCACATCCTAAATGCCAGGCACTTGGCAAGACAGGTGAGGTCCTGCCCTTGACATTGAGTGTGGAACAGTCAACAGTTCTAAAGGAGAATGAGCTGGGTGTGGGAGGCACGTGGTCACGGCAGGGGAGGGTGCTTTAAGTGGTCAGGGAGGCCTCTGGGACCCAGTGGCATTGGAGCAGAGCCCTGCAGGCAGTGAGGCCACCCTGAGGTCTACAGCATGAGAAGCACAGGCCATGGGAGGAGCTGGTGCAAAGGCCCCATGGCAGCACTGTGGCTGGGGAGTGAGGATCAGATCTAGGTAAGAGCATTCCAGATGGACAGAGGTGGGCTGAGGGGCTGGTGGGGATTTCATGAGGAGAAGGACAAAGGGGCCGGGGCCATGATGCAGGGGGAGAGTGCAGCCTAGAAAGCAGAGCCTGGGATTTCCTAGGCGTGTGGCCATGAGTGAGCCAGGTGGGAGGGGGTTCTCCATCTCCTGGCAGGGGCAGTGGATGTGGGTGGGCATGGCCAGCTGTGTAAGGTCAGGACCCGTGGTTTTGCATGCTCCACACTGTACTGCCCCTGGAGCCTGTGCACGTCTGCGGCACTCAGGGCGTGCAGACGGTGTACAGGCATCAGGCCTCCTTCCCGAGGATGGTGCCACATCCTACCCCCTCTGTCACAGAGTCATTTCCTGGCCACGGCTCTCCCACCCCAAGGCACAGGGTGGTCTCTCAGTCTGCAGATGGGCCCTGATGCAATGGCCACCTTGGCTCCCACACAGCAGGCCGGTGAGCCCATGGTGGCAGCAGTGCAGGACTTTGTCCTGGGCTTGAGCAGGGCCCTCAAAACCCACGCAGAGCCCTTATTTAGAAGTAGGGTCTTTGCTGATGGAATTAGGTAAAATGAGATTACACAGGACTAGAGTGGCCCCAAGTTCAAGGGTTGATGCCTTCCTAAGAGAAGACAAAAAGAAAAAGGCTGTGTGTAAAGTTGGAGGCTGCAGAGAGGGGGTGATGCAGAGAGGGGGTGATGCAGAGAGGGAGTAATGGAGAGAAAGGGTGATGCACAGAGGGGGTGATAGAGAGATGGGGTGATGCAGCCACAAGCCAGAATGCCTGGGGCCACCTGGGGCTGGAAGAGGCAGGAAGGATCCTCTGCTGTGGCCCTGGGGTGTGGGGGAGCACAGACCTGCCCACGCCTAGATTTCCCTTGAGGGAACATGCTGCCGGCCATTTGAGGCTGCCACAGGAAACGCACATAGCTCAGAGGGGCCCGGGCCCCATAGTGGGGCCTCAAGAACAGCCTGCGTGGGAGGCTTGGTGATCTGCAGCCACCTCTTCTGGGGGCTGACCTCACACCCAGGATCAGGCAACCATCCCTGACTCTAGAGGGGATCACACAGCTTCACTGGCGAAGGAAAACCAAACCCACTCTGCACTATGTTGCCAGCAACAGCTGTGGTGGCCCAGTGACCAGGAGTATCCACAGATGGCTATCAGGTGGGGTCAAAGAGCAAAAGCCAGAAGTTCATAAGGGGGCCTCAGGAAAGAGGAGGCGACTGGGTGTGGGATGGAAGGAGGGACAGAGCCAGGCGGAGACAGACGTGTGGGGACTTACCCCAGCAGCCGCTGGTGGTTGAGCTGGTGGGAGGGAGGCATCCGGCAACAGCTGAACGTGATGACGCGCCTTCCAAAGTGGTCATCCCCTAGAAGAGCAGACCCAGGGTGAGCCTCCACGCCACCTTCTTTGGAAGACCCTCAAGTCCTTAACACAAAGCTGCCTCCTCAGCCAGGCCTGCCTGAGCCGGGGGGTGACACCCCCAGGTGTGCAGTGTGTGCCACCTCGTGCACACTGCCTGGGTTCATCCCAGGTTCATTTTCACAACCAGCCCCTTTTACAGATGGAAACCTGAGTCACCCGCTCAAAGCCACACGGCTGGCTGACAGCACAGAGGATTTAAATCCAGACACATCTAACTTCAAAGCCAGTGTCTGGCCATGCTGAGTCCTCCCTACACCCCAAGACCCCCTTTAGAACTGTGGGCTCTGAAGGACACCAGGGTGACCTGTGGACAGTGGCTTCTGGGTGCACCCTCAATTGTAGTGTGCAGGAGCCCTCTCAGAGTGCTGATACTCAGGCCTGCCTCGACCATGGCCCAGGTCACCCTATGCCCACCCAGAACAGCAGTGGGGAGGGCCCCTCCTTGACGACAGGGACTGGGCCTGATCACCTATGTCCCTGGGCTCAGGGCCAGGCACACAGCAGGTGCTTAGGAGGATAAAAAAGCATAACAGCCTCTTCCTGGCTGCTGAGGACATTCTGTCCCCTCCTCTTCCAGCTACCCTGAGGTCTACCCAACCTGTGGCCAGAAAGCCATCAGGGACCCCTGGCCGAGATCTGCCTCCTCTCCATGGCCATGGCCCTGAGAAAGAAGACCCCAGCATGCAGGATGCCCTTGGGAGGGCTGTGGCAGTGACTAAAGCCATGTGCAGGGACAGGGCCCCTCATAGCCACGGCTGGGGACACCAAGAACAGGCGGATCGCCCCATATCCCAGTACTCCCAGCTTCCTATGACACCAACCACACAAGGACACAGTGAGCCTGGCTCGCAGCAGGGCTGAGTGTGACCACAGGTGCAGAGAGGGAAGTGAGATGGACACAGAGAGCCCAGCCCGCAGCACTGCTGAGGGTGACCACAGGCACAGTGAGAGAATGTGAGGTGTAGGGAGGGAGCCAGCACCACACTGGGACCCCAGGAAGAGGGCGAGGAATACCTGAGTCTTCTGTACTGCTGGCCCACAAGGCCTATAGCCTGGCTGCTACCAGACCAGTGGTCTTTGTTGGGGGCATCTGACTGCCCTAAGCTGTTCCCTCTACACTGTCCCCCCTCCTCTGCTGCAGGCTGTGCAAATGGGCCAAAGCCCTGGTGTCCACAGGGCTTCTCATCACCCAGGAGGGGTCTAGGGGAAAGGACACCTGCAGCACAAGCCTGGCCCTGGCATGGACTTTCTGCCTCCCTCCTCCCTTCTGCACACCCTACATGGTGCCCTCTGGTTCAGGGCACAGTACCACTTATGGCATTGGTATTTAAATGAACTTAAATCAGATTAAAAGTTCAGCCCTTTGTGTACTTCAAGTGTTCAGTGCTCTCACATGCTGAGAGGGGATTGCACGGGACTGTCTCCATCACACAGAAAGTTCTGTTGGGCAGTGCTGACCCTGTGGACCTCAGAGAAGGGGCTGAGGGGTGGCTCAGTCTCCCTCTCACCTGGGGTCATAGGCTGAATGGTGCCCCCACAACACTCATGTCCACCTGGAAACTCAGAAGTGACTTGCATGACACAGGGTCGTTGCAGATCTAATGAAGGATCAAAGTAAGATCACCCTTAATTTAGGGTGGACACCAATCCAGAGACTGATGTCTTTTTAAGAGATGGAAGGGGGAAAGAGGCAGGTGGCGGTGGGGTCAGTCACTGCACGGTGCAGACACACCTGCAACACCAAGGACAGCAGCCCCCAGACCTGAGGGAGAGGCATGGAATGTGTCCTCCTCGGGGCCTTCCCCAGATGGATCCCCCGTGACACTGTGCCCCATAACTGCGAGGGTCAGCATGCACTGTCCTAAGCTGCTCAGTCTGTGTACTTTGTTGCAGCGGCCCTAGGTGACTAACATACCTGGACAAGGGTGTCCAGCAGATCTATAGCAGAAGGTGCCAAGAGGCAGCCAGGAGCAACCTGTGAGTTTCCCCAGGCTCAGGGACTTGGGTTGCAGCCAAATCCCACTGTCATGGCTCCCCACTGTCCTTAGAGAGAGTCCCTGCAGCTCACCTGCCTTCTCTTCGGCCTTCTCTCCTTTCACCCCTGCAGCCTCATCCCACCGCCCTGCAGAGTCCCAGTCCTCTCTCTGCTTCTCTCTGCCTCCCGGCTCCACGAGCTGCCCCCCAGGCCCCTGCAGCATCCTCCCACCCCCTTGGCCTGATCCCAACCATCCTTCCCACCTCAGCTTAATTGCCCCACTCCCAGGGGGCCCCCTGCTCTCAGGCCCACTGCTACTTCATCCCAGGGCTCCCCCAGCAGACTCACAGGGCTTATTCGGGTGGCCGTGTACTTCCCTGGACTGAGAGGCCCCAAGGCAGGGCCTTCATCCTGCTCATTCCTCAACTACATCCAGTAATTATTGATTGACTGAAGGATTGATTACAGAAAGATTATTAGGAACCTGCCGAAGGTGTCCTAGATACGGACACGGCTTATTGTTGTGGTTGGTGAGCATTTACTTCAGTTCTCAGAGTGTGTCCTTGAAATGAGAAAGGGTGACATCAGAACTTTCTCACCCCCACAGCTCTGAAAGGTCATGGATCAAGATTGCATGTGTGTACGCACACACAAACACACAGACGCACAAACACATGTAGACACGTGCATGCACACACACACTAGCGTGAGCACATCCGCACACACAGCGTGTGAGCTCTCTGCCGCCCTCCCAGCTCCAGCCCCAGGAGCCGCTTTTTATTTGGGACACACATCTGATCCTTCCCAGGCGCCTGGGAGCTACTCTGTGTTCAGAATCCAGAGTAATTTCACAGTTTCCAAACTCAGCTTCCTTCTGATTTCACAGGCTCCTCACGAATTCCAGGCACGCTCCCTGTTTGTTTAGAAAGCTCCTGTTTGAAACGGATGCACTTCTATTTGTGCCCTTGGCCAAATGGGAGTTTGGGGCACAAAACTTTCAATGGCTGAGCCTAAAAGTACAGACTGTTTTCCAAACCATTTCTACATTGCAGAGACCAGGGTTCCAAGGCTAACCTTGTTCCCTGTAGGACAAAGGGGAAAAGAACAAGTCTCCCTCACATCATTTCTGCAGCTACTGAAAAAACAAAGACCCAAATGCCTCTCGGGCAGGAAGAGAGAGTTACCATCAGCATTGGAAGGTCAACAAAGGGGAGTCATGTTATCAATTCCAGAATCAGACTAGGCGGTGGAAGTCCTGAAATTTTCTGTTGTTTTTTTAATCAGGCCCCTGTGAGGCTGGAACCGAACCACTGACCTACAGGGGCTAGCGAAAGCACAGAACTCTTGGGAATGTGCAAACTACTTTGGCCAACAGATGATCAGCTTGATGATTTTGTGGAGGGCCCACTACTGGAGAGAAAACGGGACACGGCCCTGCTGGGTCCCAGGTCCGGGATGAAGGACAGCAGGTCTCCAGCAGCCATCAGCGGATGGGCCCCTGGTCCCAGTGCCCAGCTCCTCATGGCTACAGGTCCATCCTGGACCAGGGGGCCTCTGAGGCCCCCTCCCCTGCCAACTTGTGTCAGTGAGGTGGGGAGGGGCTCACAGCTTATCGGTGCACTTGTACCCACTGTGGGTTACAGGCCTTTGTGCTACCAGGCAGGGGATGCACTTCCTCAGCTCTGGATAGCCGGCCCAGCAGGGCAGAGGACTGTGGGGTTGACAGCAAGACAGGCAGGTGAGGATGAGCACCCACTGAGGAGCCAGCAACGGGGCATGAGGGGAGCAGGACGCACCATGAGCCCTTCCAGCCTGCTGTCTGCAAACAATAGTAAGAGGTCCCTGGGCAGAGCAAAGCACGTGCAAAGGCACTGAGGCAGGGATGTGGGGCTGGGGGCCCAGAGCCCACACTGGGCTGAACATCCTGTTTGCATAAAGCTCTGACTCATTCACTCATACATTCAATAAACACTTATTGAGCACCTATTGTTTGCAGGGTTTGTGACCTAGCATGATCCTGAGCTCTGAAGGGAGCTCCTATCAAAGGCCTTTTGCTCCCTCCAAAACCAAAAGGGCAACTAATTTGGTGCTTTCTTTTTGTACCAACAGATTTCTAAATGTCCTTCCAAACTAACATCACGGCATCATTCAGACCTGACAAACTTAGGAAGCTTAGAGCAAATGCAGTGGTAGAGAAATTTGGTTCCTCTCTCTGTTTGAAGCATTTGCTAAAGCCATAAACTTTAATAAAAAGTTAAGAGGAAAGGAGAGAAAAAGAGCAAAGGACTGGGCAGCACTGTTCTCCACTCCCCAGCTGCCCAGCTGGGGGCCAGACTCTCTGGTCACCGGCAATATGGAGAAAATAAGAAAACCGGGAGCGTTGCAGGAAGGATTAAATCAATAACTCGGTCAGGTCTTGGCATAGCCCTGCCACACAGTAAATGCTTAACAATCGCAAGCCACCACCACGTGCAGGTGGGATGCTGGGTGCTTGAGGAAAATGCGGCCTGGAGCCCATGTGAGGGTGGGTTTACACTCACATCTGGCCCCACAGCACCCTCTGCCCTCCGTGCACCTTATGCCAAGGCCACGCTCCCAGCTGCCTGGACACAGCCTCCCCAGCAGCCGGGAGGAATCCCCGGCACACTGGGCAACGCCTTGGCGAGCTGTCAGCGCTGCGTCTGTGTTGGTGCCATCAGTCAACATGAGTAAATGCCCCTTCACTGTTCTCAGGGAACACGGGCCAGCGCATCGAAAACAGACTTCAAAACGATGTAATATGGAAGGAAATGAAAACTATCAATAAAATGCAAATTCTGCGAGGCATCGGATTGATTCATGACCCCTATTTCACCCCTTGCTGTTTACACCACATCATTCGCTGTCTCTGCAACAGGAGAAGCCCAGTTTATGAATAAAGAAACGATTCCCAGAGCTGTCACCCATCATCTTCTCCCAGCAGAGGACGATGAAAATGTGTAAAAAGGCAGAGGAAGCTACGCCAGGGGTTTGGGAGCACGTCTGTGTTGGTTCTGGGTTTTTATTTGAAGGTTGCCAAGCATTTCTGGCAGGAGTGGAAGGAGATGTGAAGACTCCTTTTGGACTGTGTCCTGCAGGAGGGCGCCGCTGCTGTCTGAATGGTTTGTGTAGAAAGGCCTACACCTGAGCGAGTGGACGCGTGTCTGGCAGGACCGAACCCGGAGTTCCCTTCTCTTTCTCTCCCCCAACACTCCCCCCATCCACGCCTCTGAGATTCTACCTCCCTCCTCAGGCCCTTGGGTCTGGAACCTTCTACCTTTCCACCTGACTATCTCCAATTTGAGCCTCAGACCCAGACCCCAAAACACACACTGAGACCCAGCGTGACCACCTCTTAAAATACCGAAGTCAACTTCATTAACAAAATACTACTTCCAGAGTCAAAAGTCTAGAAAGCTTCCCTCTGGCCAAATTCATAATCACTTGAACAGGGAGAGATAAGTCAAGGGCTCTCCAACAAGAGACTGGTTCTAAATGCTGGGCCGGGGGAAGCAGTGCTCCAGAGAGAAGAATTAGAAACCTCCTGGTGGGAGCGATGTCTGGTCAACCCGAAGGACACAGCAGAGCCTTGGCTGCAGGAGCCCTGGAGGGGTCCAGGCCACGCCCTGGGGGAGCAGGAGGGAAGAGGGCCCAAGGACCCCTACCCTACCCTACCCATCAAGCCCACCAGAAACTCAGAGGAATGAATCACATGAATCTTCAGCATGTCCTACGTGGCCAACTCTGAAAACAAGGCCAGTGCAATGGCTCACGCCTATAATCCCAGCACTTTGGGAGGCTGAGGCAGGGGGATCCCTTGAGCTTAGGAGCTCAAGACCAGCTGAACAAGAGTGATACCCCATCTCTACTAAAAATAGAAAAACTAAATGGGCGTGGTAGCAGGGACCTATAATCCCAGCTACTCAGGAGGCTGAGGCAGGAGGATCACAAACCCTACTGTAAACTGCACTGAGGGGTCCAGGTTTCCTGCTCCTTACGAGAATCTAATGTCCCACCACACTACTGGTCCTTGGAAAAATTGTCTCCCATGAAACTGGTTCCTGATGCCACAAAGGTTGGGGACCATTGTTAAGTGTTGACAGACATTTGTTGTTTTTGTGACAAAGCATCAAAATGTATGGAGTAAAGATGGACAGAAAAGAGAAGTTTATTGATAAAACAATCCATTAAATTTTGTCCTCTGCTCTTCAAAGGCTGGCGGGACATTGCCCAGGGCCCCTCAAGAGCCCCGGGCAAGGCTGAGACAAGGTTGCAGCTGCTTTCTCAGAACACTGGCAGGCACTCTTGTTCCCAATATGACTTTTGCTCTGTGGGCACAGCCCAGCCAGGGGAGGCAGCCCCAAGGAGTTTGCCATCCCCCAGGGCCCAGAAGAAGAAGGGCCCTGCCCCGATCCTGGGGACCCCTCAGCTGGAGACCTACCTGCCATCTGCAGGATGTTGTGTCGGGCCACATCGTAGAATGGGTGACTCGTGCTCAGCATGGGGTCCTGGCCAGCCATGGGCACCACTGAGGGCTGCTCCCTGCACCCAGAGCAGCTGCCTCCTCCTGGTCTCTCTGTAGCTCTACAGCAGAGGAAGATTATAGGAAATCAGTGTACTCTTGAGTAAGGAGAAGGAAGGAGGCTCCTAAGGTCATTTTATACCTCGTCACCCTGACTCTGGTGCATACTCACTCTGTCCCCACCTCACTTGTGCCCCTACCGTGTGCCTTAGCTCAGTACCCGCTATGTGTCCACCTCAGCTATGCACCCACTATGTGACTTACCTCACCTGAGCACCCACTATGTGACTTACCTCAGCTGAGCACCCACTATGCATCCACATCAGCTCAGCACTCACTATGCGTCTATCTCAGCTGTGTACCCACTATGTGCCTTACCTCAGCCCAACACCTACTAGGCATCCACCTCAGCTGTGCACCCACTATGTGTCCACCCCATATTCTCTCATAGAGGGAGAAAAATAAGACCCAGGGATTGGATACTGTCTATATTGACAGGAATGGAAACTAAGGCTCTGATGCTGGACAGAGGAGCCCAGAGCAGGAGGTGAAGGAGGTCACAGGGTTGGGGTGGAATCCTTCACTCTCAATATGTGTGACAGAGCCTCTGGGCATCTTAGTCAGTGGGTGGCCTGCTTTGTTTGCAGAGGCAGTGTAGGCTGCAGGGGCTGGGGAACAGAAGACCAGTGGGGGCCAAATTCTTCATTAGCAAGCCCCCAGGTGAGGGGCCCCTGGTGCTGGTCAGCAGCAGAGAGGAATGATCTGTCCTGCCTCTGAGTGCACCTGACCCCAGCAGGCTTCCCTAGGGCCCCTGTCTATGAGGACAGCTTGAGTATGGACAGGCATCAAATGTCAAAGGGGTGAGCAGTCTGGAGAGAGGAATGGCCCCACTGCAGGAGAGGGAGGGCAAGGATGGGAGCCAGACCAGACCATAGGGTCTCCAGCTGTGGTGAAGACACAGCTTCATCCCGGGAGCCCAGGAGGATCCCAAGAGGGTCAAGTGGAAAGCTGGAGGCAAAGGTGCCTGGTGCAGAGGTGGCCTGGCTCAGTAAGGGGGATGGGCATGTGTAGGTCAGGCTGGAGCTGGGCTGCCTAGCCCAGAAGGTAACCCCTCGTGGCCCTGTGCATCAGCCACAGGGATAGGCCACCCTCTCTGCACGCATGGGAGCACACTGATGTTGATGATGCAGACACACGGTGGAGAACAGTCCGGCAGCTCCTCACGGAGCTGACAAAGGATCACCGTGGGACCCAGCAGGTCCACCCCCCAATGTCCCAACAACACTGAAAATGGCATCTCAAGCTAATACGGGAAACATGCGTGTTCAGAGCAGCACCATTCACAACAGCCCAGATGCTCACCAGTGGATACACAGATGGCCGAAACGTGGCCTCTCTTCCCCATGGAACATTACTCAGCCATAGAGAGAGGACATCCTGCCACATGCTACACCACGGACAAACTTGGAAACATGCTTAGATCAAAGACACTAAACACGCATTCCATGAAATGTCCAGAACAGGCACCACCCTGGGCCCGGCTGCCAGGGGCAGGGGAAGGGGAGTAACTGCTAGGGGTATGGGTTTCCTATAAAATGATGCAATGTTCTAGAACCAGATAAAGGCAGTGGGTATGAAACCCCAGGAAGGGACTAACCACCATGGAGCATGCATTGTAAACTGGTTCGAAATGGTTAACTTAATGGTACATGAATATTACCTCAATTAAAAAAAAAAAGCTATTTGGAGAACATCTTCCTAAGTAAAATATCACAAGAACGAAAAAGCAAGCATCCAACGTACTCGATACTGACGTGAGACTAGTAGATAAACAACTACACGCTTACACGAGAGAAAACACATTTAAATGCCGGGAGCGGGGACGGCGATGGGGCAGTGGTGAGCTCTCACCTATCAGGCACCACGTCAGGGTCTTTGACACACCTCCAGGAGACTTGGACTTTACTAACAAATGCACATCTCACGTGCCCTTATATTAACCTGAAACAAAATGAAACGCTGCAGCACGTGGGGGCACATCTGTAAGGAAGCGGGTGTGAGCACACGTGAAGGACCAAGAAACACAACCCAAACCCGCACCTCACGACTGCAGCCCCCCAGACCCACACGACCCTCATGCTACCCTAAGGACAGAAGGAGAAATGGTTTAGGATCGCAGCTTGTTCGCCTTGAGCAAACCTGACTGTGAGATTATGAGGCTGGGAGGAAAATCGCGCTTGGTATGTAAAACCCCACCAAGACCTCCACAGCTGGCGGCAGCCACAGGTCCATCCACCCTCCTGTGGTTCTTTCAAACCCCAAGGAGGAAACTGCACTGCAGAAACTGGATAAATGAGTCGAACCCTTGGCCCGGCACCCAGCAGGGATCGTAGCTGCCCCTCACTCAGATGCACGGCTTCCTGGAAAGGTGTCTCCCTGCCCCTGGAGGGAGGTGCTCCTCCCTGCTGGGCCTCTGTCACCCAGTTCCCTGGGCTTCATCTTCAAGAACCTCTGGGCCTCAGTTTCTGGTCAGGAAGGAGCCCTGCAGGGGCAGCCTGGCCAGCTGAGAACTTGCTGCCCATTGGTCACTTGTCCCTTGGCTGCCCAACAAGGCCTGGCTGCCCAGCATAGGAGTGACCAGGGCTGCTCCTGCCCCCGGGGTCCCCATCACCCTCTCATTCTACTGGAACTTCCCAGCAGGCAGAAGAGGCTCCCAAAGCTTGATGGTAAGAGGAAGGACAAGTCCCAGCCAGTCCCGCCCTGCCATGTCCCACTCCCACCCTCTGATCCCACTGCAGCCTCAGGGTCCACCCTACACCTCCCTAGAGCTCCCAGAGTCCTCCCCTTTTGTGGGCTAGCCTGGAACCCTGGCCCTCAGCAACAGCACAGATCAGTGATAAACATGGAATAAACCAGACAGATAGCAAACTTCTGGGGGCGCCAGGGCCCTCTGGGACACATCCCCCTCCCTGAAAATGGAGGGGCATCTCCTAAGGTACCACCTGTCCCAGGGGAGGAGACCACACCAGCTGCAGCCCCCCAGGGCCACTCACTGCCCTCAGGGAGGAACCTGCTCAGAGCCCAGGAGCCCAGGAGCCCAGCAGCCTCTGAAGTCGGGAAGGCATTGTTTCCCCTACAGCCTCAGCCTCTTCCAGACAAAATGATTATTTGTCCCTTATGTTCCCTCACAAGCACAAAACCTTTATCCTGATCACATATCTCAAAAAGCGCAGACTGGATTACTTGTTTTGAAGTATGTATGCTCAGTGTGAGCTCCACACATAATCCGGGTCTTGTGCAGCACAGCCGGAAGGATCTGCTGGGGTGAGCCCACGAACCCCTCTTCCCTCCCGCAGTCCTCTAGTTGAAAGCAGCCCTCAGCTCTCTCCATGTCTAAGTGTGTATGAAAACACACACACAATCCTATAGCTCTGTTTCCCTGGAGAGCCCAAACTGACATGGCCTCTTCCACACATCACCATTTCTCCCTCCTGTGAACTGTCAGAATCCCAGACAGGAATGACCACAGTGAGCATTGTGTGTATCAGCTGACATTGTAGAGCAGAAAATAGAGGCCCAGAGAGGGTTAAGTGCTTGCCCAAAGACACACAGCAAATCAGTAGAGAGCTGAATCTGGATCCCCAGTCATCTGACTCAGCCTCCAACCAAAATGACTCCAACTACAATGGGAAATCTCAAAGGCATGAAGGGACGCCTTCCCCGCCTCCCCACCACAGCTGACTCCCAGGCTGTTCCTGAGACTCCCCCACCTCCCCAAAAATTCCCTAAAACAGTTGCCAGCTATCAGAGAAGGGCGGTCAGACACTCCTAGCTATGATTATTACATGCCTAGCTATGCCCTGTTCCTCCGGCGTTATTCTCTGTAACAAGACATAAAACCATTAACAGGCCTAAGGCTGTGTAAGAGGAGGGTTAAACCACACCTGCAGGTCACTTACTCAACAGAGCACTTGCGTTTTAGTGTACGTCTGGTGGCTTGTCTCTGACTAACACTTCCTTGTTTTAAAACAGTCCAAGCCTGTAGACAATGGTTCATTTCTTAAACCAATTACAAATCAAAGAATCTTTCGGCTGATCTATAACCTGTAATCAGTGTTCTGCCTTTTGGGGGCAAATTGCTGTACTCTTTCTATGAAGCGATTTATGACTTTACATGTAATACCTGTCTCTCCACAATGAATACAACCAAACTGTAACTCCACCAAGGTGAGACCACTTGCTCAGGGCTTCTTGGGTGTGGCTTCGGACTGTGGTCACACATACTAAGCTCAGAATAAGCTTCTTTAAATTACGTTACAGAGTTTGGGTTCTTTTCAGTCAACAGACTGTACTTATTTCTGTGATCCTTTGGCTAATGATACTGTGGGTTTCCCTATGCGGGTTAAAGTTTTATTAGAACCGGCTCAGCGCTTGTGGCTCAAGCGGCTAAGGCGCCAGCCACATACACCTAAGGTGGCGGGTTCAAATCCCCAGCCCGGACCCGCCAAACAACAATGATGGCT